CTGCTGTTAGATCCAATTATGGGATTCCTTCTGGGGACAAGTCCTCCAATCCTATATCTATTGATAAAATTGATAAAAGTGTTTATATGCCCTTGAAACACAATTCTCCTGTTATACAGATATCCCTGCGCAAATTCTTAATGGCTGATAATTAAATTAGCATTCCTGACAAAAATCCTGCCTACAGCTTCTTTTCTAAATACATTTATAACTAAACCCTAATTATTCAAAGTGAAACTATGATGGAAATAATGTTTTCATTTGATGTTAATGGTACCCTAGAGTTGAATTTTCAAATCTACCCAGCTTCAGTTCTAAGTACTTTGGAACCAATTCAGAATCTCCTGATAAAATGCACTTTGCATCTTTGTTTTGGTGACCTAAATTTCAATCCTACTCATTGCCCAGGTGGTTAATCTAAACGTCTAAGCAAATGTCTACTTTGTTTGCTCAATTTCTTACAGGGCTTTTGTCGTTTTTTCATGGTAGGATAGTTATACCACAGCAAGCCCAAAAAAGTAAGAGCAGGGGTGGAGAACCTGGGCTCTCCAGATGTTGCTGGACTTTTAACTCCCATCAGCTGCAAGCAGCATGGCCAGTGGTCAGTTGGTCATCATAGTCAATGTTTGATGTTTTATTGTGTTTTTAATATTCCGTTGGAAGCTGCCCATAGTGGCGGGGGAAACCCAAACAAATGGGCAGGGTATAAATAATAAAATTATTATTATTATGGGGATTGTTGTCAATCAACATCTGGAGAGTCACAGGTATCCTGGGGGAACATATCCCAGATTTTGCTGGTAGCAAACATGAGGGAAAATGGATCACTTTCACATTTTTCATGACCTACCTAGGATAGAAGCTGCTTCGCTTATCTCAAAATGTTTCATTTCAGTTTGTCAATTTACTGGCAAGATGGTTATAATGGGTGGAAATTACCACGGGATTTCCCTGCTAGACAGACTTAATCAGTAAACTGAGGGTATGATTTCTTCACTTACCCATTAGAGAAGCTTGTTAATGTTAAAATAATGTTAAAATAATGTTAAAATGAATGACTGGCCACAGTTTTATCTTGGGATCTTTCCCTTTATATCCATTGCAAAGTTAGCATCCAGGCCGTGAACCAAACATGTCCATGGGACTGGCATTCCTTAATTCTCGAGAGCTGCTGACAGGAAAGCGGCCATTTAATACCTTAATCACATGAAACAATCAACAGAGATAATCACACTGATGAGTTTAGGTGTCTTCTTGTCTGGTGCTGATTAGAATATCAGTAATAAGAGGAGGCACTTGATTTATGCAGTCCAGGTTTCATTTTCAGAGCTGTGATTGCAGGCAGAATGGCTTGAACTAATGATAAGTGAAGGAAACCTGATATATTAATCAAAGAAATGACGTATAATAGCTTTCTATGCTTGATATTGTTAAATGTTCTGTAGAGCACTGCTTAAAAATATTCCAAAGCTTTTTAAATGCATGTTAGACACCATGGGCTGGATCCAGACTTGTGCCCCATCTGCAGTATACATTCAAAGAAGTATCACAGCACTTTAAATAGTCATAGCAAAGAATTCTAGAAAATGTGGTTTTTTGAGGGTGCAGAGTGGTTTAACAATTATCAATCCCCTTTCCCAGGAAACTCTGGGAATTGCAGCTTTCTTGGGGTCTTCCAACAACTCTCAGCACCCTTAAACTACAGTTTTGAAGATCTTTGGGGGAAGCCATGGCTGTTTAAAGTGGTATGATACTGCTTTAAATATTTAGTGCCATTGGGACCTTAGTGATACTTTACATCCCATTGATTACGGTGGATCTGCTCTAATCATGACCAAGCCTAGATCCAAATTAGCATAGCAAGCTGCCTAATACAAAGACACACCATTGGTCTCTCCAGCGCAATGAGTTATTCTGTACCTTGACCAGCAGTGGCTTTCCAGGTGTTATGAGTTTGGGGGTGCCAGACACCTATAATTCCTGGGTCCAGCAATTGTTAGAAATTAATCAAGACCTGGTGTGTTAAACTGGGTGCCAGACATGGAACCCCTGGATTCAGCAAGTGTTAAAATATAACAGGCTAGCCCCCAATGAGGTAAATGCCTGGTGTGATGAGCCATTAAAAAAACAAAGGAAAAGTGATGTTCCATTAAGAAAGCTAAGAAGAGGAGGCTCCGTGCCAAAGGCAAATGGATGGGACCCCTTCTTCTTCCTGACTTTGGAGTAGAGTTTCCTGTAATGTGACCTAAGGGGGAGGTGGTAGGCTGGAAAAGGCCAAGAGAGAGAGAGAGCGCATGAGAGCACACAATGTTTGATTTCCGCTCAAATCTAAGGCTATGGCTATGGGAGAAGCAAGACCTTCTTGGGGTGTGAATGCTGTGAGCCCTTCCATCATAGCTTCAGGTTGTTGTTGTTGTTGTTTAGTTGTGTCCGACTCTTCGTGACCCCATGGACCAGAGCACACCATGCACTCCTGTCTTCCACTGCCTCCTGCAGTTTGGTCAGACTCATGCTGGTAGCTTCAAGAACACTATCCAACCATCTTGTCCTCTGTCGTCCCCTTCTCCTTGTGCCCTCCATCTTTCCCAACATCAGGGTCTTTTCCAGGGAATCTTCTCTTCTCATGAGGTGGCCAAAGTATTGGAGTCTCAGCTTCAGGATCTGTCCTTCCAGTGAGCACTCAGGGCTGATTTCCTTCAGAATGGATAGGTTTGATCTTCTTGCAGTCCATGGGACTCTCAAGAGTCTCCTCCAGCACCATAATTCAAAAGCAACAATTCTTCGGCCTTCTTTATGGTCCAGCTCTCACTTCCATACATCACTACTGGGAAAACCATAACTTTAACTATATGGACCTTTGTTGGCAAGGTGATGTCTCTGCTTCTTAAGATGCTGTCTAGGTTTGCCATTGCTTTTCTCCCAAGAAGCAGGCGTCTTTTAATTTCATGGCTGCTGTCCCCTTCTGCAGTGATCATGGAGCCCAAGAAAGTAAAATCTCTCACTGCCTCCATTTCTTCCCCTTCTATTTGCCAGGAGGTGATGGGACATATGTGTAAATAAACCATATATCATAAAGACACCACAGTCTGCACTGTGCCTCATTTTCAAAGGAAAACATAGTCCCTTGGTAAGCGCCTGGAACCCCTGGAATCTCGCACCACTCAGAGATTGGGTGGCATGCAATACAGGGTATCAGGCGGGGATCTTATGGGGATTGAACCAGGGATTTGCTTTCAAAGCAGATGGTCTACCACCAAGCTAGTGTCCTCACCCTTACCCAATCCAATAGCTTATATATATATATTTCTGATGGGTTATATATATATTTTAATTTAAATGAGGTTTCACAGTTCAGTACAACGCAAAAACAAATCACCAAAGCAGGGGGAGGTGATGGGGAGTTATTGTGGTGTGGCTGGTTCTCCAAAGCAATCTGGATTAATTAAACCTTTGTGTTTATGATCCCAGTTTGTTAAATTAAATTATGCACTCTGATTCGATCTAACCCCAGTCTTTTGTTGAAAGAAATTTCCTGGATCTTCTTACAGATGAGACAGGGGTTAATGACCATTAATGGGGGCATTTGTCAGCTGAGGGCTTTGAAGACTAGAGAGTGTAGATTTGAATTAAATGATTCAGACATATTCAATATGGATTAATTGATCTGTAATGAAGTCACATTTCCAATTAATGCAGATTCATTCCTCCTGTGCCTACACAGCCTTGGATATCGCTTCTGGAAATTATACTGTGAAAACTGTTTTTGCTAATTGAAGGGCTGAATAGAGAGATCCAGCTGTTTTTGCTAATTGAAGGGCTGAATAGAGAGATCCAGGCATTCACTGGGCCTTCCCAGGCTCCCCCTCCTCATGCCCCCCGTGCCCGCCCCACAAGCTGAGGAGGAGCTGCATATAGCAAGTTGCTTATTGGATGATCCCACTCCCACACTTGTGGTCACAGCTGAAGCAATAATAGGGAAACCATCAAACAATTGTCAACATGGGTATATATTAGATGAAGGTTGTGAAGGAGCACAGTTGGTTTAATTCAGTCATTTGACATTCCATTTGCAAGTTTGTTGATAGGGCAATAACACCACGCAACACTGAGATTTGGGAGTAAGTTCCAGAGGGGTCATTGCATTAGTCTGTTGAAGCAGAAACATTAAAAAGTTTTGGCATGAGCTGTTGTGATCTAAGAGATGCCACCTCTTAGAACCTGGAATACATATTGTAAGAAATTTGGTGGCGTTTCTGATCTCCAGTGGTCTGCCGTACAAATATAATTCAGTAGATGGTAACAGGCTCCGATTCTGACTTAGTCTTTGGCTTCTTATGCACTAGAATTGTAAGCTTCATCCATCACGCACCACTTTCTGGTAAAAAGAGATGTCAGTAAATCCGTAGTGACATGTTAGAATGCTGTTTACGCTTGTGCTTATGGGAAACATATGTTGCATGATTTCCCCCCAAGTGCTGTGTAATTTATCTCTTGTAAAGGCAAACAACATCCATTCATGCAGATCTGTGATATTTATTCAAGGGCCATTGAGGAATATTCTTTCAAAGATTTGATTGGCCTGGTTAAAGTTTGCCACAAAATGTTTGCACCCCCCCTTTTTATAACAATCATTGCTTTTGTTCTCTTCAGTTTGAGCCCCCAAGTTGGAACTCTTAGATCTCACAATATGTTTTGTTTCGCTTGCTTGTGTTGCAGAAAGGTACATTTTTTGTATCTCCCTAAGACTGCTGAGTAAATGTACATGAAGTGCTTTGAACACTTAAACAAAGTAATATATAAATTGTTGTCATAACAACCTAAGGGTGCTGTCAAAAAGCTTAAAATCACTATTTTGGGGTTAGGTTTTCCCAAAAGCTCAACTATTTGGGTTTGTTCTGAAAAGGAGCTTAACGATTTTGGGGCCTTCCTAAACTTTGTGGGTGTTTTACTTTTTGGCAACCCTAGTTGGTACTATATAACAAGCAGTGATGACAGAGGCAGCAATATAGCTCAGTCAGTAGAGCTTGAGGCTCCTAATCTGAGGGTTGTGGGCTCAAGCCCCACGTTGGGCAAAAGAACTCTTACGTCGCAGGGGCTTGAATTAGATGACCCTCGTGGTCCCTTCCATCTCTACAGTTCCATGATTCTGTGATAGGACACAATTATTACTTTTTAGAAGATTAGTTTAGATTTCACCTACAATTTCAGTGTGTCCCTGGTGGGAAGACTTTCTGGCCTGTGATTAATAATAGCTGAATACTGCTTTCATTAAGTGAAAAGCCTTCCTTTAAACAACGTTAGCATTCAGAGATGATTTGGCTCTCCCAATTTCATTTTTAAAGAGTAGACATAAATTAGCATTGACCCTTTAATAGTTTACTTCAGAGCCAGAAACTAGTCAAGATCAAGGGTCACCTGTGTTTTCAGAGAAACCAAATGAAAATTGTGCGGGTTAGGGTGGGCACACCAAATCTCATTAAAAGGTTTTGTTTGAGTTTGCAATTCTTCATTTCTTATGATTACTTTCCAATCCAGTGGATTGAGCCATCTGGAGCATTAGCAGAGCAGGCAGAGCAAATAAACTAATGGAAGTCTGTGACAATTTTGCAGAATTGTCATCACAGACTTAAATGTAACTTATTAAAAATGTCCTTTTAAAGTATTCTGAAGGGAAGACATCCATCTCTACTGTTAGTACCCACTAAGAAGATATAAAATCCCTGCCCTGCCCCACTTTACCGTTGGTAGCAGCAGCAAATCAACCCTAGTGTGTAGTGGCACAATGGGTCATTGTGTCTACCTGTTAACCAGAAGCTTGATGGTTCAAGCTCACCTAGGAATAGCCATGGGCAGGATTCTATGACAAAATGAATCTTGAAGCCTGCTGGTCTGCCATTGACTAGAAGAAAACTGCAGATAGACTATGTGAATGATTTGTGGCGTGCTTCATTGATAAAGATGCAGTTTGAATCACAATTTCTGCCAAGAAAGCTGTATGTGGACAAATGCCGGCTTCCTCAGCCTGAAAAGCAAGATGAGTGCCACACCCCATAGTTGCTGTTGACTGGACTTAACCATTCAGAGGTCCTTTACCTTTTCCTGAGTGAAGCCTTTTGGCTCAGATTGTTCCCATGGACATGAGTGCAGTTCTAGAATAGCATTATGTGCATGCGTGCACGCGCACACATTTTCTGTTACTATTTTACACAGGCAAGCAAGCATGTTGTTGGATTAAATGACCAGTTTGCAAACCAGTTTGTTGTTCCAGTTTGCAGAAAGACTGACCATTAAAAGATGGTGTTGATTTCCTTCTCCCCGCCTTGTCTCTGGCTCTTGAACATTCCCAAGTGCAGTGAAGGGGGAACCATCTTCTTTTCCACCCCAGAATTGCAACCTTTCATGCCTGTGGCCCATAAATAGTATAGGTCTACAACTAGATTTATTCAAGTTATCTCTCCTCTTTAAAATCACCATGAATTAATGCTTGCTCTGTGCTCTGAAGAAGAAGAATAAAAAACACGCGGACCTTGTGAGTCAGCCACTGATGCACAGGCACATTTAATGTTTCTAGGTAAATGGTATCTGTGTCTCTCAGCCATCTGTTCTCTATATTATGACGTATACAAGGCTGACTGATCTTGTTGGCTGAGTCATCTTGTTGATGCTGCCCCTGTAGTTCCAGGTTGTTTCAGTCTGATAAGTGCTTCACACATTGAGCTGGTGGCATGCAGTCATTTCAACACCGGGGCAGGCTCCAATGGTGACTGTCTTCTCCCTGCCCCACAATAACCAGCCCTGGTGCGAGTTAAAAAGGTCTGTGGGTCTTTGAAGGGCGCTGCAGTTGCAGTTCTAAGTTCTTGCACTCAGACAGACTGCACCTGCTCAAAATTCTTACTGGATCCTCCCATCCAATGTTGCTGCTCAGTGTTATTTGTCTCCTTTGCCGCAAGCAACGTGAAGTGTTGGACCTCAGGCATGGGGGCTACTATGAAGCCACAATGGTCCCTCGCCTGGTGCCTACATTAAGCTTAGGAAAATAATAATGTTACATGAGAACCCAGGGCAAAAGAAGTAGCCTTTGCTCATCTAGCTCAATGTTCATCTACAGTGGTTGGCAGCAGTTCTCCTGGATTTCAGACAAGGGAGTCTTATCCTAGCCCTACCTGGGGATTGGACCTGGGACCTTAATACATGCAGAGCAGACACTCTACCACTGAGCTATGACCCTTCCCCAGTGGATGATGATTGTGGTTGAGCACAGTCACCTTCAAGACCTATGTCAGTTCACAACCGAACCCAAGGTGGGTCCCTGCTGCAGCTGTCCCATTGCCTAAGTGCTGGGTGACTCATGATTCTGCCACCATGGCAACAGGGACACAAATGTCTTACAACTGGATGGATCGCTCTGCTGAGCATGTATGGCTTTACAGCACTGTTTGCAAAGCAAGTGCTCTATCACTGAGCCTGGCTGGTGCAAATACCACGAACCCATGGTTCTGGTCAGCTCCTGGTGCTTCCATACCAATCATATGCTTGTGAGATGCTGAATACACGCTACTGTATACATTTGCTAAATTGCTTGGTGATTCACTATGTGTCAAATAGGGATGGGGTGGAGTTCAATTAAGTGCACCTTTAAAGTTGAATCTACCCAATCTGCACTTTGTGAAACAACGTGTGCACCAAAGTACCACCATCCTTCAAAATTAATGCACCCCTGAAATTTGCAGTGCTGTTCTCCAGCCCACCAACATGTGCAAAAAGGCATATATTAGAGGAAAGTGTGACAGGAAATTGCTTTGCACAAAGGTGTATTGCGAAAAGGCCGATTGCATACACAAATGTGTATTTTGAGAGAAATTTGCACTAAAGCGTGTCCTCCCTCAAAGAGGGCACGTGTTCTGGTGAGACCTGGAGACTGACCTCCTGTGTTGTGGGTGGGTATATTGGACAAGCCACAGCACCCGATTGGTAGGTCCCTCGTTGCTGGGTTTAATCTGTCCAATGGGGTGCAGCCTAAACGGATCGAGGGACCTATATATGCCTATGCACGTGACCCAGGGCTTCCTTTTTCAGCTCGTGCATTGGAACACCCGCCCACCTCTCCCTATATTTAGGGCATTTTGCGATTGACGTTGCTATACCGTCGTGTGTCATCTGTTGTTGGGATAGGGGCACGGCAGGAATTTTCCCCACTTGGGTGATTGCCTGTTGCCATTTGGGTTTCACCTGCCACATAGCAAATTGTCACAACTTGTAAGCTTGCAGATAGGCACTTGTTCAGGTGATAGGGATGGGAGAACGGTCTCGCCATCCCTATGTGAAGGGTATTCCGTTAAAGGAATCCAGGGACTCAACTTGGTTTGGTCAACCCCCGAGAGGGGGTTGTGCCTGTGCCTGAGTCCAGGGGAGCATCTGGGGAATGGATATACCGTATTTTTCGTTCCATAGGACGCTCCGTCCCATAGGACGCACCTACTTTTTGGGGGGGGAAATAAAGGAAAAATTTTTTTCCTTTATTTCCCCAAACCAGGTCGAGGAACAGTGGGATGGCGGCGCTGCGCCTCCCCGTTGTCCCCCGAGCTTGTGGGGCTGGCCGATGTCTGCCCGACGTGAGGGGCGCTCTGCTTCAGGGCGCTCCACGCGCCGGGCGGCAGGCTGCAGACACCTGCGCGAAGCACGGGGCGTCCTCCGGAGGGCGCCCCGTGCTCCGCGCTGCAGGCTGCCCCCGCAAGCCTTGCGCTCCCGGGGGAGATCCCCCGGGCGCGCAAGGCTTGCCGGCACCTGCGCGAGCACGGGGCGTCCTCCGGAGGGCGCCCCGTGCTCCGCGCTGCAGACTGCCGCCCGCAAGCCTTGCGCTCCCGGGAGATCCCCGGGCGCGCAAGGCTTGCCGACACCTGCGCGGGCACGGGGCGTCCTCCGGAGGGCGCCCCGTGCTCCGCGCGCTGCAGGCTGCCGCCCGCAAGCCTTGCGCTCCCGGGGAGATCTCCCGGGTGCGCAAGGCTTGCGGACACCTGCGCTGAGCACGGGCGTCCTCCGGAGGGCGCCCCGTGCTCCGCGCTGCAGCCTGCCGCCCGCAAGCCTTGCGCTCCCGGGGGGAGATCCCCCGGGTGCGCAAGGCTTGCGGACACCTGCGCGAGGCACGGGACGTCCTCCGAGGCGCCCCGTGCTCCAGCGCTGCAGGCTACCGCCCGCAAGCCTTGCGCTCCGGGGAGATCCCGGGTGCGCAAGGCTTGCCGACACTGCGCGAAGCACAGGGCGTCCTCCGGAGGCGCCCCGTGCTCCGCGCTGCAGGCTACCGCCCGCAAGCCTTGCGCTCCCGGGAGATCCCCGGGTGCGCAAGGCTTGCCGACACTGCGCGAAGCACGGGGCATCCTCCGGAGTGCGCCCCGTGCTCCGCGCTGCAGGCTGCTGCCCGCAAGCCTTGAGTGCCCAGGGAACTCCCCCGGGTGCGCAAGGCTTGCAGATAGCTTCCTGGAGCCTGAAGAGCGAGAGGCGTCGGTGCGCACCGACGCCTCTCGCTCTCCAGGCTTCAGCGAAAGCCTGCATTCGCCCCATAGGACGCACACACATTTCCCCTTCATTTTTGGAGGGGAAAAAGTGCGTCCTATGGAGCGAAAAATACGGTAGTCCATTCCTGAGCTTTCCACCTACCTCAGGTGTTCACCCTTGGCTGACCTATGATAGCACTCTGGGTCAGCGCTACCTGCCAGGGTGTAGGGAGCTAGTCGAACCAGAGCCTATGCAACCACTCACTTTCTGTAATCAATAAAGTTGTGGCCTAAATTCTGCCAAAAACCAAAACTAAAATTTGAGTCAAATGTGTCTTTATTTAGTGGGGAGGTCTCTGGGTCTGAACACACAAATTCATAAGAATTTAATTATTGTTATTACAAATTGCTGCAGGATTGTGGGGAACTGAATTTAATATGGGGAAATGAGAAATTGAAGAATTAAAACTGACAAATCTAGCCCTGTTGTCAATGAACTCATAAATTGAACAAATAAATAATGTAGCCCCATCAAGGGTGATAAGGGAGACAAGAAAAGCTCTGATCTTTTCTCTGTCTTA